ACCTGTATGTGCTAGGCAACACTCTACCACTGAGGTGCACCCTGAACCCTGGAGACACTTTCAATGGGAGGGTAAGGCAGAGGAAGTAGATTCCAAGAAGAAACAAGATTCAAAATTGTGACACTTGTATCTGAATGACTGCCAGAAAGATGGATCTAGTGACACAGCAAAGGATGCCATAACGGAATCTGGTTTCAGGAGGAAGCCTAAGACTCTGATCTGGAAGTGACTGGAAGACATCTGTCAACATGCATAAAGACTTCAGGATAGAGAAGATTTTAGGATAAAGAAGCCAGAAGAGAGCCCAGCAAAGACAGCACTAGGAAACAGAAAACCAGTGGTTCAGGGCAGACAAGGACAAATGCGAAGGAGCAGGAATGAACAGAAATCAGGAAGACAAAGCTCCTGGCAATGACACAGAAGATAAGGCTCAAGAGTCCAAGGGAAGCAGTCAGGCTGGGGCGGCTGAGTGGTCCTCCATGACCCTCCAGGGTCACCATCCCAAAGATCAGCAATCTGAGTAGTGAAATGGAACTGCTGGGGTAGAAGGGACCTGGGAGATCATGCAGAGGCCCACACATCTCTTTCTGAACACAAGGATACCCAAGTACAGAAAGTTTTATGCCAAGATTACAAAGCTGACCAAGTGGAGAAGCTAGGAATGAAAGCTGTGGTCCTTCCTATTATTATTATTGTTATATCTGTTAATCTGTTTATTTTTTTCCAACACACTTTCTATGCAGATGATCGGAGATCAAGTAATTACCTTTTATTATAATCAACAGTGGAATTAGACTAATGTATTCAATGGAACCAGCAGGAATATCCAGGAGTAGAGAAACCCTACATAGAGCTCAATTTTCCCATTCCTAGCATAGAGCTCTCCACCCTTAGGCAGGCTATGTGTTCCTGGTATCCTCCTTGCTCATTACCAAAGTCCTGGATGCCTGACAGGAGCAGCTCCAGTAGGAGTAGAGATGATGATGCAGGGATGAGAGATGAACAGGGAGCAGGGCTCCTGAAAGAGACCTGGCCAGGGCTGCAGCCCAGCACAGCTTCTCCCAGTGCCATGTCTAAAGGCTCAGGCCCCAGCCCAGGCACTACTGGGAGACATGGAACCTTAGGAGGTGGACTTTTGAGAAGTCAGGGACAGTGGGATCCCAGCTCCTTTCCCTGTAACTCTTTCCAGCTCTTTCACATTCTGATCCAGTGGTGAGCATACTCCATGCTCAAAAGCAATGAGCTAAACAATCATAAGCTAAACAGTTTTGTGTGAGCAAAACTTTGAGCCAAATGAACCTTTTCTCTTTTTAAGTTGCTTATCTCAGGTATTTATTAGAATATCAGACAGCTGACTACCAGTCAGCACAGCCAACTAGCCACCTAGAGAATCTAATGTGATCATACAGATGGGTCCTGGCCTGCCCAGCTGGTCTTGGCATTGGCAACAGCAGAATCTCCAGCCCCATTCCAGCAGCAGGATTGTTGCTGCCTGCCCCTCGGAAATGACTGTCCAGAAGCTGTCCCTTTATTGGCAGAAAGAAACACACTCCAATGTTTTCCAAAGTATAATGAGCAAGATTCTAAACAGAGTACTTCCACAAGCTATTTTCAGGTCACATTACATGGAAGTCTGAATCACCTCTGGCACCTTCAGTATACGGGCAAGGCCTGACACCTTACTGCATGGGAAGTAGGAGGCTCACCCTACGCCTGCCAGCCACCTGTTCACTTCTCATGGGTGCTCTGCAGGATCCCACTGCAATTTACATCTGCTGGACAAATCCTACACATGTCTACTTCCTGCTGTTGATCTGAGCTGGCATCTCTGTGAGGTAAGACCTTAAGGGACAAACAAGTTTAACCCAGCAGAGAAGGCAATGAACTGGCTGAGGACTTAGCTCTATCATTTATCTGAAGTCAGCTGGGCAAGGAACAGCAGCCAGCTCCAACAAAAGGCACTTAGGGCCAGCACTGGAACAAAGTATGGTCAGGAAATGTGCAAAACACAAGTTGTTAGATGAGCTGCTCCATACAGCTGCTGAACTCTGACTCAAGTCATGAAATCCTTGCAAAAGAAATAAATCTGATGGATCTTATTCACAAATCAGAAATGTGAATAAAGGTAACACAGCAACTGACCAGGGACTTCAACTACACCAACTCAGAGGAAGTGACTGCATCTCTGGGTGATGGGGATAGGGAGGGGGAGGGGAGGCTGCCACATTCAGGAAGGGAGCCTCTGGAGACAGCCACTTACCAGGTTTGTGGCTCAACCTCACATCGAGACCCAAATTAGGGACAGAGGTTTTCCAACAAGGACACATGAATCCAAATGCAGAAGGGAAAGAAAAAGAGCAAGGAAGGATCATCTGCCAACTGTCCATTCTGCTAGGACAAGAGCACTGTGCTGGAGTTTCGTGTACACCATCTCATGCTCTCTTCATAACAATCCAACAAGGTGAGCAGTGCTCACATCGTACCACTAATGAAACATCAATTCTGAAAAATCAAGTAGCATGCCCCAGGTCATACTGTTAATAAGTGGAAGAGTGGCTTTGTGAGATAGGAGTGTTAATATGGGGATATCTGGATTTGAAAACATAAGTCCTTACTTATTTTATTTTGGGATTTATTTCATTCAACTGATAAATATTTATACAGCAGTTGATATATATAAGGAACTACTGCTCTAAATACTGGAGACAAAATAGTGAGTAAAATTTCTGCCATTAAGAAGTTTAATCCAGGGCTAGGGGAGAAATTCAATGGTAGAGTACATGGCTAACATGCATGAAGCCCTGGGTTCCACTGCCAGCACCAAAAACAAAAATAAAAACAAAGCTTAAATTCTAGTGTGCTAGTCCTTCAGAGTCTATTTCTAATTTGGGATCACAGAGAGGAACAACAAAGGATCAGTGACCTAAACAATTTAATATCCACTACCCACAGGACAGCTGTACCACATTAGCACTTCAGAGGTCACCTGTCTTGCTTACTCTAATTTTTGTATAACTTACACACACACACACACACACACACACACACACACACGGCTGCTTAGATAATATAAAAGCTCCCATACAAGCCAATGGTAAAGAGATTCAAAATGCACCCAGATTAAAAGAATCTGTACTGAGTGGAGGCCTAATTTGTTCAAGGAGAAAATCACTAGAAGTAAACATTATGAGGCAGTAGACAGTTTTGTGGACTTGAACCAGTACTTTAAAGAACTTTTTAGCCAGACATGATGGCACAACCTGTAATCCCAACACTCTGGGAGGCTGACCAATCAGATCACAAATTGAAGCCCAGCCTGGGCAATTTAGTGACTTAGTGAGACCCTGTCTGAAAAGGGCTAGGAATGTAATACAGCATGAAGGCCATGTGTTCAACCCCTAATGCCACAATATAAAAACAACAATAACCTAGAAATTTTTAACAAAAGTTCACCATGAAGAAAAAAAGAATATTCTCCATCCTACCTGCTTTCAATTCAACAGTAAACAAACTGGAAGATACAGGACACAGAGGCAGGTGTTTTATACGTCAGACTACTGGATCTTAGCCTTAAACATGTTGTCTTAGTTACTTTTCTCATTGCTGAGACAAAATACCCAACGCCCAGAATTAAGGAAGGAAAGGTTTATTTAGCTTACAGTTTGTGGAGGTTTCAGTCTATAATCAGCTGGCTTCAAGGCAGGGTGGCAGGACACAGGGGCAATACTTCAAGGTAGCACAAGACAGCAAAAGGCAAAAGCAAAAAGCAGGGTAACAAGCCTCTTTCCCTCCTTTATATGTTAAGCAGACCTCCCCCACCCAGGGGGCGTGTAGCACTCACATCATCTCCATGCCCTCCTCTTGCACAGGCTCATGACAAATACAAAGTAAGGAACCGGCCCCTGCTCAGTCACTTTGTTAACCTTCTAAACTTCTCAAGTTGACACAATGAACAACATCCTAGAGCAGGAAGGGCCAGGATGTAGAACTGCTGAGCTACTTAGTTAAGTTTTTAGACTCCTCAAGTTGACACACTGTATCAACTATAATACATGTCATTTTGTGACTTTTCCCCTCATTTCCTTTTTGTCTCCCTCCCTCCAATGCACCAGGCCAAGGGCTGGAGAACACAGCTTACACGTGTGGCAAATGGGAATGACTGGTGAAGGAGCAAAGGGAGGTGCCTGAGTTCATCCACTCTATTCTTTTAACTTTTCAATATATTTGAACACTTGACAAAAAAAGGTTTGAATAAATGAAAATTATGCAGAGTTTCAAAAGGCTGAGATGCAGAGGTATGAAAATGGTATTATCCATCAAACCTAGGTCAAATATTCAAAGATAAACTCTGAGTAACTTTGACTCTCAGATCCTACATTATCACCTTACATCAACATCCCTAGAAATTATTAAAAAGTCCTAAGCAGGACTTAGTGGAACCTGTGGAGTCCACTTCCCTAGGCCCAGACTGCTGCTGACTCTCACACCCTATTCCCCTGGTGTCAGCCCCAGCACTAGGAGACACACTCTGCTATGAAGCAACTCGTTCTCCCAAAGCCACGTGGTCTTCTCAGAGTGCCACAGACACCCTCTTCTGAGGATGCTGGCAGGACCAAAGGGTTAAACAAGGGCAGCTTTTTCCTATGTCTGCAGCTGGCAACACACAGTGGAAAAATTCACTGCCAAAGGATGGAATTCATGCAAATGACAACCATCTCTATCACTGGCCTTTCCAGGAAGCAGGGAGCAGAGCTCTGAATGGGAAAGGAAATCTGTTATTCTCCATGATTTCATCCGGAAGGAAGGGAGAGCTGCTTGAGTCCAGTGTTGGCCTGACTAGCCCCTCACTGACCTTCCTGCACCCTGGGGCCCTCCATTCTCTGTCCACCCTCTGTAAAGACCACAGGATCAGGGCAGCTCTCCTCTGTGCTCCACAGGGATTCACAAGATCCCACATGGTCTCCCTGGGGGCACAAATGCCTCCCAGGGCTGGGGCTTACCAATGTCACTCAGCAGCGTGAGGATGGCTCCTTCCCGCAGGCCACAGCAATTCTCAAACTGGTTCAGGTACTGCCAAGAGTAGAAAAGAAAATCAGTGTGAGTGGTCACAAGTTACCAATCAGCCTCACTGTGCACCAACTGCTGAGCCCCTCTGAGTGTGAGCATTGGCTCTGGGCTTTGGGGACCTGATTCTGCAGAGCCCTGGGCAGCAGAGCTGGTGGAAACTGGTATAAGTCAAGAAAGCAGAGGCAGTGTCCTGAGGTACTCCCAAGTTCACAGCATGGGTCCTGATAGGGACTGTCTGACTCGCTCTGAGGTGAGGAAGTTTCAAGCCTCATCTGCTGCCACAAGTTGTGTGGAGGAGGCCAGGGCCTAAGCTCAGTTGCAACTGAGTGTCAGCTCTGGAGAGTCCCATAGCCACCCGCTGACCACTTCCCTGACATAGCTTGCCCGATGGTAGTGACAAAGTAGGAACATTCAGCACACATTTGCTGTGAGCCCGCACTGGGCTAACCTCTGTGTGGACCAGCATGGCAAGGTTCGGCCTGTGTCCTCATATATTTCCCTGTGCCCTCAGAGCTAAGTGTGCTCGACTCTCTGGAGCAAGGATGAGGAAACAGACCAGTGGAGTTCAACATCTGCAGCACACATAGGATTACAGGCAGGGCCAGAAGTGGAAGCCAAGACCTCCTGATGCACATCCAACATTTAGCCCTTGGCCTGCTAGGCTGCTCCATTTGCTGAGGGGCTCAGCATGCTGCTTCAAGTTGGCCTTGAATAGAGACAGCAGAAAAAGTTACTTCCCAACTGAGGCTCAAGGCCGTGGGTTAATATTTACATTCCTTAACATTTAAGGGTCTGTTTATCTATGTAGCACTCATTTGGGGTTTTTTGAGAATGGGTCTTGCTATGCAAGCCATCCTTCCTCCTGCCAGACTTAACTCTTTAAGTCAGTTCTGACCTTGGCATTTGCTTATGTGTGGCCCAAGAGTGTCTCTGTGCCCACAGGTACAGATTTTTAGATGAGGGAGACAGGCTGCCTCACTTAGGGAGCAGAGGGCATATGGTTCACAGCACCCACCCTGGCACTGCACTTTAAGATCAGGCCCCTAGGGTGCTCCCTCCCCGAGCTTCCTTCAGATCTGCCTGCAGCCCACATCAGGCATTGTCATCATCTTTGCCCTTGGCTCACTCGCTCTTTGCTGTCTAGCAGCAAGTCACCACACGATTACACCATGGCTTTATCTCCACACAACCGCAGCCAGTGACGGATGAATGCCACAAGGTCAGGAAAACATAGAAAGAACTGTCAAGTTCTCCATTTCTCATCGGTTATCAGTGCTGCTCTTGGGTCATGCCAATGACTGTGTTCATATCCTGCCTGATGCTACACCTTTCCGGGGACATGCCCACGACCCACTATGGGACAGTCACTCATGCAGACAGACCCTTGTGGAAATTTCCAGTTTGTAAGGTAAGAGTAGTGAGAAAAGTACACAGTGTGCCTGGGAACTGCCACACTCAGATGGAACAAAAGCCTGGGCACCTGCCACCCTGACTCTCACAAGTCACAGACTTTCTGGAAGGAAGAGCTGAGAAGAACTGTGCTAACAGCAGATTAAAAAGAAAAATCGAAACATTCTCTTTTCCTGCTGTTACACTGATGCAGCCAATGTCACAGACCTAAGTTCTGCTGGGCTCTATGAGGCCCAGCAACAGTCATACTCCTGGGCCCTGGTGCCTGACAATAATATAAGAATCCTATCGTGTACCAAGATCACCAGCTGCCACCAATTGTGATGCTATGTGAAAGCAGGTTGTCGAGAACATCTTGGAGGTGGCAGAGGGAACGGTCCCTGAGGTCAACCTCTGGCCTCTCAGAGGAGGTGATATGAGGCAGGAGAAGGCAGAGCCCCAGGTGAGTCAGAGGTGGGTCCGAACCACAGCCTGGTTCCTGGGTGACTAAGTCAGCCCCCTTCCTGCTATGCTGTCTCACACCTGGAAAAAGCCTTTCCTTGTAAGGACAGCAGGGAAGCCAACCCCAAAAGCCCAAGGTTCCCCTGACAGCTAAAGGAAGAGAAGTGCTGGAACTCATCCAGTCTCTCCTTATGGCTCAGCTCAGATGATGGGTTTTTCCCCGTCATTTTAGTGATCATGGTGCAGGATGTACAGAGTCCTTCCCTGGCTTCCGCATCAAAGCATGTGATTCATGGGCCGGGGGGTGGGAGGCGTGTGAGAAGGCCCAGTCTGCTGCAGTCACTGTGGCTCCCAGAGCTTGTTGGTGATAACATTGGTGAAAAGATCCCCTTTCCTCCATTCCCGGTATCCTAGTCCTGCCCAGATGGGCCGAGTACCACTGAAAGTTTACCTTCCGGAGGTCTCCTCCTTGGCAGTACTCCATGGCCAACAGGGGCAAGTCATTGGGTGCCAAGTTCTGCATACCCTCGGGGACATCCCGGGCAGCCACCACATTGGGGTGGTTCAGCCTGGGAAGAAGGAGAAACCAGTGAGGGCAGAATCCGGGCTTCAGCATGAACTTATTTCTCCTCCATGTCCCAGCCAAGCTAACCTTCTCGCCCAGGCCTGGGAACAGGAGGGCCCTTGAGAATACAGAGGAAGGCAGGGCCCACAGCCAGGTGACTGACTTCCCTTTGCACCTAAGTGAGTAGCAGCTACCTGCTTTATTTCCAGCACCCTGAACTCAAGCACCCTGTCGCTGCACCTGTGTCATTTAATGGTGCCCATCTCAAGTCTTCAGTGTTCTGCAAAACTGTTTCTAAAAGCAGAGAAAACACAGGGTCTTCTAAGCTCATGTGGCTCAGAGTGGACACCGTGTGCTGGTGCCTGCTCTTTGGATGAGGCCAGCAGAGGGAGTACCTGCTTGCTGTCTTACTGGCTGCAAGCTGGGAAGACAGCATCTACCTTGCAAGTGACAGACCTGTCTCCACTCTATTAGCAATGGATACTAGCAGGAAGCTGACAGGAGAGTCAGATACCACCCCAGAATTGGAAATATAGGGGAAGGATTGTTCCGGTGATGAAGGAAAATTCACACTACGATTATTTATTTATTTTTGAGATGGGGCCTTGCTATGTTCCTCAGGACTGGCCTTGTATTCCTGGGCCCAAGTGATCTTCCCACCTCAGCTTCCCAAGTAGCTGGGTCTTCAGGTGGGTGTCGTTGCACTTACATATAATAACTACTTTAAATTATTTACTACAAAAAATGAACATGACTAAGATCCAGTAACATCTTTAAATGTCACTCTGTCAGGAGTCTCTAAAAGGGGAGAGCCATCTGTCATGGCTGCAATCTAAAATATCCCCCAAAAGTCTCATGTGATCAGAAGTGGGGACTGGTCAGAAGGGGCAGGTCACCAGGGGTATGACTTGGAAGGGTGTATTTTTGTTTCTGGCTCCTTCCTCTACTCTCTGCTGCCATGTCTTTCCTCCATGCCATTTCTGCCTTCAGTCAGCTTAGTTTCAGTGGACTGAACCCACTGAAACTGTGAGCCAAAATAAACCTCTCCTCGTTTAATTTGCAGGCATCAGGTATTTTGTCCCACTGATGGGAAAGCTAACACCATATATCTGCACAGCCTGGCTGGGGTCCCAGTGGTATAGATCTCATTTCAATGTCCCCAGGCCCCTGCAGTGACTCTGGCAGCTCTGTGCCCAGGACTCACCTTCTCATGATCTGGATCTCCAGGCACCAGCGCTCCCGGTTTCGTGGGCTGAGCTCCTGCCGGCACTGCTTGATGGCAATCTGCTCACCTGTTTCCTATAGGAAGAGGACTAGCAGAATGTACTGAGCACATGATCACCTCTTGTGGCTGAAAGGGGTCACAGGTCTCCCTGAAAGCCCTGGGGTACTGACCCCTGGAGTCCGGAGTATCTCTACCACATGCCTCTCACTCTACCCTTCTCCCGCCCACTTTCTACCCACCTAGAGTCTACAAAGCCTGCTCTGTCCCTGTCTCCTCCATGAAACCTCTGCTGTCTATGCCTGTCCATGGAGGTTTCTATTTCTCTAAGCCCCACCTCACTCTGTATTAGGTTAAACCATATGACATTGCTAATATTTGGCCACTGTTTTTTTTTTCAGTACTGGGGATTGAATCCAGAGCCTTCACACTGACCTGCATTCCCAGCCTTTTTTAAATTTTTTACTGTGACATGAAGTCTTGCTAACTCACTAGCTGCCCAGGCTGGCAACTTGAGATCCTCCTGCATCACCCTCCCATGGTGCTGGGATTACAGGCATGTGCTACTATGCCTGGCTGGCCATGAACTGGCCATTTTGACCTATAAAGATGGTACTTCCATATAGCTTAACCCAATGTCACACTGAGCAACTTCAGTGTTTCATGTAAGAGTTTTGTCTCTAGAGGAAATACAAGTTAACAGAGTAGACAGGATGCAGGCCAGCTCAGATTCCAACTCTGTCTGCTACCGGCTATAGGACTTTGGCAAACCATGTGGTTTATCTCTGACTTATCTTCCCTAGAAAAAGGTAAAAATGCCAGCCATCTGCCAGGCTGCTATAGAGATGAGCACTGGCAGTGTCCAGCCTTTAGTAGGTGTTGGATGACCCTGATGTAAGGTCTCCCATGTCACAATGCAGGTATCCTGCCCTTAGAATCCTCTGGAGCCTGGCTCCCACCTGTCTTCCCAGCCACTCTCCCACAGCTCATGCCTGTGACACTGTATCCAGATCAGACCATCTGTCCCAGTCATGCAGCACAGGACCTTGTCTCCTTTCTGTTCCTGCAAGAGGTGGTTCCTTCAGTGCACTCATACTAGTTAGTTCTTCTCTATGGGGAGAGATTTCCTTTTTTTTTCTTTCTGAAATTATAGACATGTCCATCTCCATAGGCTTTGGCCTCTACACCAGGAAGCAGCACATCCTTCACTGTGGTTTCTTGAAGGATGAGAAGGGAGTCAAATTTTCTATGGCTAATTAGCTGAGTAACTGGTTCCTGAAGATTACTGCCTTTCTCTCTGTCGGGGCACAACGAAGCCAAGGGGAACCCTAGGACAGGTGGGAGGCTGAGGCTGTGTGTTGATGTCAACGTAGTGAACGCCTCTGGCTCAAGTACTCCAGCCATCACCACTAAGCCATTGCTCTCTCCTTTGGCCCATGGGTTTCTCCAGGATGGCTGAGGGACACCAGTGTCCCTAGCCATAGCTGATCCAAGCACCACTAAGCAAGCTGACTTGTATCACTGTCTCTGGAGCCCTGCACGAAGTGTGACTTGGGGATGCACCACTGCCAACTGGATGGCAAGGTGACTACCAAAAGTCTACAGATTTCACACTTTATGATACTCTCACCTTCACACAGTTCTCCATGTCAGTCTACAAAAGACAAACAAATGCACCTTCAAAATCAGCCACATTTGACATGAGTAATACTGTCTGCCCCTTTGGAAGATGTCCTGTCAGACCACCTTCCCAGTTTTCTCATTTTATGAAATGTGGGACTTCAACAGACATGCAGAGGATGGGCGAGACCTCGCAATGCACACAGCTACAGCAGTCAAAGTGCACCACAGTCTCCTGTTAACATGTTTTTAACAGCTATAATGATGTTAATTCATGCAACATATAATTAATACATTGAAAATATACAATTCAATGGTTTGGGCGATACTCAGAGTTGTGCAACCAAAACCACAACCAATATTAAAACATGTCCACTGTCCTGCAAAGAACCCCATTCCCATTAGCAGTCACTTCATTTTCCTAAGCTCTTCTAGCCCTCTGCAGCCACTCATCTATGGCCACCTTAGGACTCTGAGGTTTTAAACCAAGACACTGGAAAATCTGCACTTATCTAGCTTCAACACAAGGTGTATTAGTCTTCTGTTGCTGCTACAGCAAATCACCACAATCTCATGCCTTAAACAGTACAACTTTATCCCTACAGCAGAATCTGACATTGAGCACAGCGGCTTGCTTTCTGGAGGCTGCAGGGGAGAATCTGCTTCCTTGCCTTCTGCAGCCCACAGGCTGTTCATGTTCGAGGCTGTTTATGTTCCAGGGTTCATGGCTCTCTACCTATCCTCAAATCCAGAAACAGCCAGTCGTGTCTTTCTCATCTTGTTTCACTCTAATACCTCCTCTCCTACCTCCCCCTTCTACTTCTAAGGGCCCTGTCACTGTACCAGGCCCACCAGAAGATCAAGACAATCTCTCTAAGACCAAATCATTAACAACTTGAGTCTGCAACCTTGATTCCCGTTTACCATGCAGCCTCTCATTTTCACAGGTTCAGGGAATTCCCAGATTAGGACAAGGAAATCTTTGCGGGGAGCTATTACTCTGTCTACCACAAATAACAATACATCTTCATAACACATGACAGATAATCAGACTCAAAATGTGGGTATAAATGATTTAGGAAATCTGTCAGGCTACACAATGGTAACTGTAGTCTTTTGTCCAACACAAATATTGGATTTAACACACAGCTGTCACTGGTCCCACCCAGAAACCAGGAGTAGATTTTTGTATAGAAAATTGATACTGAAGACTGATGATTTGACACTGGCCTTAAATCTTCAGACTCAAACTAAAAACAATAAATCTAACAATATGGACACTGAACAAACCTTTGAACAATTGAGCAGAGACCAAGACTAACTTTTGTCCTGTGAGGACTTCAGCACAGTCTTACAACCGCAGGAGAACCCTGATTTCCTAGACCTGGAGATGGCTGAGATAGAGATGTACAAATTTTCCTCAAAATACTCCCACACCTACTTCTTCCATGAATAATATTTCATTTGAGACAGAAGGACTTCTTACTAAAAATATACCTGCTCCTGAAAGCAAAATTCAACTGACTGGTACAAAAATAGCCTGAGAATACTGGATGCAAGCCTTGGGGAGTTTGCTCATCACCGGCAGAGAAGCTCAAACAGTAATGGATGACTTACTTTATGTTGTTGCGAACCCCCGGGGAGTACTAGCTCAGTTCTGTGGAAACCCAAAGTTGGCCTGCACCACCGCAGTACCTAGCTTTCTAGTAAGCAGACTGCTCTGGTAGGGCAAAATTTAAAATTGGTATGTATTTTGAGATAACAGGGAAGGGAGACAACAGTATTTATCTATACAAGTGCAGCTGAATTTGAAGGTCCTAATGTTTGTACTTCTTTGCTTTTTATACAAGAAAATAAAACACTTGTATATACATGTGTTTTATAAGGTATAAAACAGGCAGGGAGTGAGGGGACACACACTTCAGACTTCCCATGGCTCCCAAGAGGTGTTTCAGCAGAGGTGATCAAAATGCAGTGTGCCTGGAAAACAAAAGGCTGACCCAGTTCCCAAACTTCATTTCTTAATAGGCCAGAGAAACACGCAGGAGGCTAAGAGCTACACCTAGACCCTTATCCCATACAACCATCCACACAGGCCACAGTGGTACAAGGAGCAATTAGTAATAACCTCCTCACTCCCCCTCAGACTCTGGGTGTTTAAGAAAGAAGGTGCAAAGCTGGGCTCCAAAAGATTTGGGGATGAAGCCCAACTGGGAAGGCTGGCTGCAGTGCCCTCCCTTTCTCGACAAGGGATGAAAACATTTTCCCTCAGCATTGCCTAGTCATTCTAAGAGAGGTGTGACTTCAACCCTCCTCCCTATGGTGCAGGCACCCAGTGGGCCCAAAGGCCTCCAATCTCACCTATAGGAACCAGGAGCATGGCTCTGAGAGAAAGGTATGACTCCTTCCTCCTTTGCATGGCAAATGTGTGGTTTGCGGGACACTACTTAGGCTTTGGGTTCAGCCATAATGGAAATGACTCTACTTTTCCAATGATGCCAATTAAAATGAATCATGGTCTCTGACTCATAGTGAGCCTTGGATAAACTACAGCACTATCACTTCTTTTTTCTGGCCCAATGTAAATGTTGTTCTAACCAGCTGACTTGTCTTTTCTTTTTCCTGTCTGGTTATCTAAACTCCTTTCAAGATCCTGCTGAAGTCCCATTTTGCCTCTGAGCATTCAAAAGAGAGACCATGGAATAAATGGCACTCCATGCTCTCTATAAGAGATAACTGATTATCACTGCCATACAATTTAGTGCCTACATCTAGACTTACTCAGTGTATTTCCACACATTCATTTCATCACCTCAGTTAGAAGGCAAGTATGTGAAGGACAGTCTTCTCTTTTTTCCTCTGTATCTCATACAGAGTTCAGGCTCATGCCTAATAAATTATTAGTAAACCAGGCTGGTAGTGCATACCTGTAGTCCCAGCACTCTGGGAGGCTGAGGTAGGCAGATTACAAATTTGGACTCAGCCTGGGCAACTTAACAACTTACAAAAGCCCCATCTCAAAATAAAAAGTAAAAAATGGTGGGAAATATAGCTTAATACGAAGAGGTGCAATCTCCACGATTGGAAAAGAGCTCACAGTGAAGTGACATGAGATACTGGATGAGATCTAAACGTTAAAACACACAGATAAGCAGAAGTGCGTTTATATCCAGGAAAAGTCAGTACTGCTTCACAGGAAAGACAACTGACAACACCTTGCCTTGTAACAGCAGGTGCATTCATTACCTCCTTCATTTTCAGCGTGACCCCAACCTCCAGGTAGCACTTCTTGGCCACTATCAAGTGCATGGAGACAGACACCTCAAGGCATCCTGGGAGGCCTCTAGACACTTCCAGAGAGGAGCTGCCCCATGTCCTGCTGGTCGGGTTGGGGATCCAGATCGGAGAGGATCAGTATCTTAGAACCTCATAATATATATGGGAAATTGTGACTCAAAGTTAAGAATGTGGCAAGTGGCAGAATAGGGATCTAAACCAAGGTTTAGGATGGTGAGCCATGCCCTTTACTTCTAAAAGTTGCTGCAGGCTGCACTTATCTCTTTTCTTCTTCTTTCATGTATAACAAGGGTTTACTGAAAACATCACCTTGTCTATGTCAAGGAATAGTCTGTGCTGAGGCTTGGGCTGGGGATTTAAGGGTTTATAGACCAAGGAGGGATTGTCATGGCCCACGCTGTGGAGAATCTGGGAAACCAGGGAAAACGGAGCTGTGGTCAGTTGTTATACCACCCTTATCCAAACTGCTTGGGACCCAGTATTTCAGATTTGGGATTTTTTTTTTTCCCCCCCCAGGTTTTGGGATATTTGCATATGCATGATGAGGTATCTTAGAACAGGATCCAGAGCTAAGCACTCAATTCATTTTTGCTTCACAACACCTTACACATGTAGCCTGACAGTGATTTTATACATATTTACAGTGCATCTGCATTCTGACTGTGAAACGTCAGGAGGCCAGGTATGGAACAGTCCACTTGGGGTACCATTTCCTCAAGCTGTTCTGAATTCTGGAGCATTTCTGGATTAAGAATGCACAATCTGTACTCATTCTGGAGTTCTCTGTTTAACAAAGAAGATTTTTTTATCTTGCCTTCCAAAGGGTTTTTCTGTCAGTATTTCAAAATGATTTAGAATGACTGCAGAGAACAAAGGAGTACCTACAAAACACAGGGAATGTTCTGGAAGGAACAGGGGGGAGGGTCCCCTAACCTTGGTCCCTCAGCTGGAGAAGTCACAGGGGAGAATCTAGGACTTGAGAAGTTGCAAATTCTAACTTCAGTTTCATTTACTAGCCTCACATTCCATAATCTCCCTGAGCCTATTTCCTCAGTTATAAAATGGGAACAGACAATACTTCCTTTGAGAACTATTTTGAGGGCTGGGATATACCTCAGAGGCACAAGCACCTGCCTGGTAAGCGCAAGGTCCTGAGTTCAATCTCCGGTACACACACAAAAAAAAAAAAACAACGAGAGAGAATTACTATGAAAATTGGACATAAAGCACATAAGAGATGCATCTTCCCAGCAACAGCTTAGTAGTGTGCTTACCTGGCATGCATGGGGCTATGGGTTCAATTCTCAGCAGTGGATGATAAAACCACGTAAGATACTTAGCCCAATGCTGGTATAGAGTAGGTTCTCAATAATGATGAGTCTGAATGTCAGGCCCCACTTTTCTGACTGATGGTACCAATGCTTAGGCTCTCCGAAGTAATTTCTCCTTTGAGAACTAGAAATCTCTCACTTGGCAGATGAGACAAAGCACAAGGTATATGTGTGTTAAGCATGCACTTACGTGTTTGCATATGCACTTACTCTTGACCAGGTAACCAATACCTTCTCTGCATCCAAGAGGCTCTGCACAGATGCTCTGCCTTCTGCTCACCTTCTGATCTTGGATGCTAACTAAAGACTTCCCCAACCCCAAGTCAGCCCTCAGGGCTTCCCAAATGGAGGAACAACCCACAGCCAAGTGCAGGAGGGCAGAGAGTGTCCTGGACTGAGCAGATTCATCAGCAAGCACCACTAAATATCTGCCCACATTCCACACCTCCCTTTCCTCCCCTTCCTAGCTTCTACCTACCACCCAGACCTGTGCATTTTACCTGAAAGTGTCTCTAAGTCTACCTACTTCTCCCCATCTCCACGACTTCTCTCACAGCTTCGTAACTGTCTTTCCACATTCTTGGGCAGCACTGGTGATGCCTAAAAGCAGCCCTGAGAGCCGACTATTCAATAGGAGTTTCGTGAAAACAGGTGGTTCAACTGTTGGTGTCCTGGAATTGTCACTGGTGAGAATAAGTTACTCTGTGGAAATGGTCAGCACTGAAATTCAGGGCAGTTTTTTAGAAGCGTACAAAAATTTTCCAAGGCCACACCCAGTGCCTGGGTCCCTTCTAATCCATCCCTGCAGTAAGAACAAACTTCTCTTCAATACCTCCAAACCTCCTCCACCTCTCTGCCTACAGACCAAAGGAAAACTCCCTCAGCTGGACGTGGCCCAGGTTCTGCAGGCATGAGCAGAATTTATCCAATACATCGAGGAGAGGCAGGTCTGTTCACACCGGACACACAAGAAAGGCAATGCTGGACAGAGGCAGGGTACTGTCAATGACTCCCAGCAGGGTGACTCTTGCCTTCTGTCTTGAGCCACCTGGCTCCTCAGGCTCCCTCCAGTCCCACCAGCCCTTCAATCCTGCCCACTGCAGTGCTACTTTCTTGGGGATGCTGCTCCACCTCAGAATAAGATCTCACTGCATCAGGTCCGCTCCTCAGTTACACTTATAAGCGGAGTGTTCTTTTATAATTAGCTGATTAACAGTTTTGATAAATACTTATGGATGAACTGTGTGATTGATTTTATGCACCTAACAACATATATAAAATCTCTGCTATAGAGGAATCAAAGAAACCCAAAGTCCAATGCAGCCCTGGCTCACAGGAACCAAGAGACCTGATGGGATGCTCCTCCTACCCACAGCCAACAAGATGGTCACCAAGAGACACCAAACAAGCCAAGCCGAGTTCAAAAGACGACCACATTCTCAGGGGAGGGTCTATGGAGGGACTAGGAGGAGGTAGCCTAGGTCCTGGAGGCATGGGCAGAATTTATCCAACACACTGACGAGAGGGAGGCCTGTCCACATCAGGACCCATAAAAAGGCAATGCTGGACCAAGGCAGGGTACTGACAAGATAAGGATGGGCCTCAAAAGACAGGGGTCCAGCTTTTGGCTTTTCAAAAATAAAGAACAAATTAAAGTTTCAGAAAAGAGAAAGAACTGAGAAGCAGTAATTCTAGGGACTAATCTACATATACATACATGTCCCTACCTATAAAACCAAACATAAAAATACATGTCCCTACCTATAAAGCCAAACACAAATTCCATCTGCCTATCTCCTTTCAAGCCCAGAGGCCACTCTGAGCTAGAGATAGGAGACACAGGGAACACATGGACACAATCTTTTTAAAGGAAACCAGCGTGTCTCTGGCTGACTTTCAGAACCACTAAACACTAGGTTTATGTGGGGCCACAGATGGAGCTGGCCCTTCTGTTTTAATGTTGGTCCTGGCTCTCCTCTGACCAGGACAAACTTCAGGCAGTTAGGTTTCCTAAGGCCTTCTCAGCCACAAGGTGTGTTGAAATCCCAGTTTCCAAGCTGGGCATGTGAATGTTACCACCCATGGAGCCATATGCAACCACCCAGCTCCGGTCCTCATACTTCTCCAGGGATCCCAGCATATACTCACAGCTGACAGTCTCAAGCACGGCCCCAGGTCCCTTCCAACGAAATGACATGGGAGGTGACTGGAATGACCATGTCTGTGGCATTCTCTGCTGCTCCCAGGCAATAGCCAGGAGTCTGCCAGCACCTCAGGACATGAAGGTGCTCAACAGCCCTTGACTAAAACCAGCGCTTCCTTCAAGGATTTGAATTGCTGGATCTGAATTTCAGGTCAGGAACTTATTAATTTTTGCTGTTTGATCACTGAGGGTTTCCTAGAGCAACAGTCTCCAAATTGGGTATGTGTTTTCCAGGTAGTATCCCAGGCCAGAATCCAAAGTAATAAAATAGAAGTAAGTTTCCATGCAACACTCTCCCCGAATCATTCATCATGGGCCACGCACATGCCACACCTGGTACTCGAGGCAACCAGAGGAAAGGAGGAGTCCCACAGCAGGAGGACGGAGCTGCCAAAGGTTACATGCCCTTCATAGGTGGGATTATAGATCAGATCGTGCAATTTTGGGAAAATAACTTGCATTATGAACTACTATCTTAAAGAGATTCCTGCAGAGGATTTCAGACCTTCTAATGCCTGTACAAACCAAATATGGGAGAACAGACACCTCTGAGAAAGTCACCTCAGACACAGAAGGACCAAACACAGGAAGCTTCTAATTAGGTCCAAAAAGAACTTGTTCCAAATCATTCAAAATTATAGAAATTAGCTACAGTGTGAATTTTCACACCCCCCCCTCACCTACAGTACTGGGGACTGAACCCCAGGCCTTCTCACTAAACTACATTCTTTTATGTTTTTTCAAGACAAGCTCTAGCTAAGTTGCCTGGGCTGGGCTCCAGCTTGGGATCCTCCTGCCTCAGCCTTCTGAATAGCTGGAATTAGAGATGGATACACACAGCCATCCATTCTCTTTAAAAAACAGATCATTCTTTTTTTCACGAGGATCTGTGTATTTTGTGCTGTACAGTACAAGCAATACTGGGAGGGATCTTAATGAGCAGGTATTTAAAATATTTTAAGTAAGTACATTTAAAAGTGTTTTGTAAAATATTTCATTATTCTCATCCTAAATTTTTCTCTTTGTAGGCTTTATAACATGTATCAATATACAATGTATTCGTCCATGATCCTTTTTTTTGAGACAGGGTCTTGCTCTGTAGTTTAGACTGGCCTTGAGTTCACTACGCAGCCTATACTGGTCTTGAACTCACAGTGCTCCCTCCTGTCTCAGCCTCCCGAGCGCTGGGATGACAGGTGTGCGCCCACCACTCCCTGCTGGTGCAGGTTCTTCCGAGTAAGCAAAAACCTAAGATCTAAAATATGTAATAGGGACGGGACATTTTCTTTTTTTCTATTTCGGCGCCATACTTCGAAAAGCTTCGAGTCAGCTTAGCCAGCCTGAGGTCCTCTCCCAGTTCCCTTTCGGAAGCACTCCCATCCACTCAGAGTGCAGGGCCGAGGCCCGGGGCCTGACCCCCGCCCGCACGGCGCCTACCTGGTTATGCCAGCGCATGACGTTTCCAAAGCCCCCCGTCCCCAGCCGCTCTTTCATTTCCCAGGACCCGCAGGTCTGCGTTGGCAGCGAAGGTGACCAGCTCATGCTGCCGCCTCCCGACTCTGCGAGCAAGCGGGGTGGGGGGAAGAGGTTAACAGAAACCACCCAGCCCAGCGGGCGGCCTCGGAGCCGTCGCCCCCGCGGGAGGCAGCAGCCCCTCAGCCAGCTCTCGGGGCGAACTCCCCTCGCCGCCGTACGCAGCCGCCCCGGAAGGGCCCCGGCTCGCCACCCGGCCCCGCGTGCGCGCAGGATGCAGTGTCCCGGCCGCCCACAGCCCCTGCAAGACACGCCCGAGCCCGGAACCCCACTTTCGCCGCCCCCAGCTCTCGCACGCCGCCCAGCGAGAGGGCGCGGGGCGCGGCTGGACTCACCTCACCGTCAGGGGCGAGGGGGCGGGACGGGCGCTCAGCGACACCCGGACCCCAGAGTGGGCGCGCGGCCCGGCCTCCTCCTCAGCGCTTCCGGGTATGACGTCACTGGCACGTGACCAATCCTTAAAGGGGCCTCCTTCGGCGCGGGCAACGCGAGGTTCCGCCCGGGCCGGAGGGCCTGCGTGGGGATGCGGGTGGGAGTCGGAGACACCGCCCTAGAAGACGGCCCTAGAGTGGGCCCCTCGGGCTTGACGACCCCAGCCCGCGGGGCAGGCGGGACTCGGCCTGGAGATTTCCTGCTACCGGAGCTAGGACGCGGAATTCCCCGTGCCGAGTGGGGAGGTGTGATGGGGTGTGTCACCAGGGGCCGTGCGAGGGCCGGAGGCCTCTAGTCAGGCCACGCTGGGCTCGGCCTAGGAGGCAGAGGGCGTGGCGTGTCTGCCAACAGGATAGATCCCCAAAGTGAAGCCGGCTGCAGATGCCACGGTTCATTGGGCGTTTATCACAGTCTCAGTGAGACAGGGGCTTCCATGCAGGGGCGTAGCTGGAGGAGGCCCCCGGGGAGCAGAACCTCTCTCCCACCAGGCTAGCTGCTCGGAGAACAGAGCCCAGCGGGGCGCGTGGGACTCGGGGCGACCCTGCTACAGCCAGGCCGCTGGACAGCAGAGTGCCGTTCACCGAGCTCTGCAAGAGCAGGACCACTCGCACGGAGTCCTTGGGCGGGGAGTCCACGGGCACAGAGTCCACGGGCACTGAGTCCCTGGGCATTGAGCTGGAAGACCCAGCCGAAGGGTAACCAGAGGTTTTGGCTTTTGTGCCACAGAGTTTGATGCAAACGTGCTAATTTTTTGGTAGTGTACAAATAATATGTGCTAATCCTATGGTGATGAAAATACATTTTTCTTTAAAGTACAAACACATTTTTAGAAGACATTTTTATGAATTTCTCAAGGGTTCCCTAGATAAGTTCTTTTGGTGCACAGGCCATGCGGTTGCAAGCTATGGCATAGGCACACCGGTTGTATGGCTATCACAAGCTAATTTAAATTGAGAAAGTAAGTTTAGAACCATACAGGCGCATAAGATGACTTCTCTCCTGCTCACATCACTGTCTTTATCAGAATTTCCTGAGGCCGCTTGGCCACCATCAAAGAAGATTGGTCCCAGCCTGCTCCTCAGAAGTGACATCTCCCTCCCCCTAAAAAGAAAGAACAGACAAAACTGAGGTAAACTCAGGCTACACTGCAGTCTCAGTTCCAGCACCACGGGGAAGTCTCCTGAGAGCCCTATCTGAGACTCTCCAGTCTCTCCTGGGCCTCTACAAATAGCAAGGTCTTCTCCACTGCCTTTCCCAGGGGTGTGTGTGTGTGTGTGTGTGTGTGTGTGTGTGTGTGTGTGTAAAACGTGTTAAAAGAAACCTGGAGATTATAAAACTTGGCTTTGTGAAGTGCTTACTTTGTACCAGGCATTATCCTAAACTATTTAGAGTTCTCCATTCGATCATCAGGACAGGCCTACAAATTGGACTGTCCCACACCATTGTTACTATTACTTCCATTTTTCCAGTGAGAAGACTGGTGAAGGGCAAACCTTTATCCCTCAAGCACAGATGTACTAACTGGTGGAACTGAATTTCAAACCCAGGTAGCTGGTTCCCAGGCCCATATTCTTAATATCTGGTGGGAAGTACCATGCTGAGCAGGTCACAAGGGGACAAGCTTAATTTTTAAATCCAGAGCCTATTATGGGTTCCCTGTATATTAGGACTAGTTACTTAACCAGTTCAAACAACCATTTCCTATTCTTAAAATGTATGCAGTATTAGGTTGAATTGCATGAAATTTATTTTAGAAATCAAAGACAGTCAAAACATCAGTAACAAACAGTGGCAGAACATCAGTGCCTAAGTCAAAGGAGGCTAGCAGAGTTGTGAGGAGCAAGCAGGATGCTGGGAGGAGCAGAGGGGACTCACCTGCCCAAACAGCCAGGGACTGAGGTTAACTGAGTAACGTGTCAAAAGCAGGTGCCAGTCCTATGTGCGTGCCAGCATTGTCAAGGAGTGAACCGCAGGCTTCGTGCATACTAAGCACGTACTCTACCATTGAGCCACAACCCTAACCCCTGCTTAGCTTTTCTTGATCACTCTGTAGTCACAGCTAAAGCACACACTCAGCCTCAAAGCACGAGGAAAAAGAAACGAGAGTCCATACTCACAAAATACTGAGCAGAGTGCTTGACAGAGTGTAAGTGCAGTGTTTGTTTAATAAATTTTGAAATATTCAGTACCTGTACATGCTAAACACTCCGTAGAATGTGTTTCCTATTTGATGTCTTAAAAGGTTTTTCTTTAATCCTATCCCCTCTAAAAATCACTGTTCTGAAAAACTTACCAAGACATCTACTGATGTGTCAGAGGCTTACTCTATACCACTGTAATTTGAGCTCTCATTTTGTTCAGCTCAAAATAACTTGGTTTTCAACTGCACATAAATCTCTCTGATAAGATTGTATATTAATAGGCTTTTTAAAAAATTAATGATGGCCCAGGAAGGGGCCTCTGGATTTTATCATATTCCAGCCAGAATATTTATCATTTTAAGCCCTTTTCCCACCAGATAAGACCGTATCCAGATCTCTGCTGCATCTGGTCTCTATCCTGTTCTGGAGATGTGAGGAGACTGTTGACAGATATTTTTCAGATGCACAAAAAAAAAGTGTTTATTTTTCCTCATGCTCTGAGGCTGATTGTGCTCCTTAGCTGTGATCTTCAGGTAATTAAGAAATACTGAGCATCTAAGCTCTAAGTAAGCATCATCAACCCCGGGCATCCAGGCAACATAACTTGCATCAGAGGCACTTACAATCCTGCTGGGACACCATGGAGCAGGAGAAACAAATCCCAGGCAATATTAATTGGGTACTAATTTGCTCTGTTGCAGAGACAGTACAGCACCAGTGATATGGATAAATTGTCTAAGCATCATTAATTTTAAAATGAAATCTTGTTCCTAAAGGAAGTCAGGGATAACTATCCTCTATCCTCTTTCTCATTCTTGAAGGTCATTAATTGATTAAATCTGCCCTCTTTCCTAATAGGAGCCAGGCAAAGCAGTCCTAGCTGCTCTTTATGAGGAAGTGACCATTTCCTACACCCATACCAAAGATAGGAAATAAACAGGACAGAACACTCCATTCCCACCCCCCAGAGTCAGCTGTGGTCCTGTGATTTCAACAACTATTTCATTACCCTTCCAAGAACGTTTTATCCTAGCCCTGCAGAGAGGACTCTGCAAGTCAGGTCTTGCTCCTTCAACAAAGGTTCCTCTGCTAGGGAAGTTGGAAGAACTTGTTTAGTTGGAGGCATGAAGGAATCTGCCTTTCTTTTGGGGGAGTTGGTGAGAGAAGGTTTGGGCTGGTGGAGTGTGATGGTGACCGTGAGCCTCAGCCTAGCCCTTGCAAACTCAATGCATAGCCATTGTAGTGGATTGATAACTGGTGGTCAACTTATAACCCCCAGCTGAACTGAGTAACTGTGGTGCTGGGTGTGGGAAGCCCACCTGAGGACTGTTGCCAACAGCATAAAGGCAGACCTGGAGAAGAAGGAGGCTGTTGGGAGCTGAGAGAGGCTGTGGGGAGCTGGCTTTCCTGATGAACTTGGCTGTTTTCATCCTCTGAGGAGCTCGGGACCTTGCTGGCACTGAGAATGGCTTTGGTTCACTTTGGAGAGCTCTGGTCCTCATTTTGAGCATAGCTTCCTGGTTCCGGAGGGGAAGATGGTGCACTGCCAACCTCCTGGAAAAGCTTGCTGTATTGGCTTCCCTGATGGGAACTCGGCCATCCTGATCATCGGAGAAGCTCGGGACCTCACTGTTGCTGAGGATGGCTGTGGTACCTTTTGGGGGAGCTCTGGTTCTTCTGAGCATCACTTCCTGGCTCCAGTGCAGATCCCTCAGCCTGCTAGCACAGATCCTTTATCCTGCTGGCACAGACTTTGTAGATTCCACCACTGACGTTTGGGCCTTCCCAGCAGATCCACAAAACAGGTCTGCCTGAGATGTTGTCATGGCTTCTGGGCCTCCAGTTGGATTCGTGGGAGGCATTGTTATGAGCTCTGGGTATTCAGCTCAACTCATGTAGGACATTGTTGTGGGATCCAGGCCCTCAGCTGGATTCCTTGGTCTTAGTGTGTGGACAGATTTCCTGCACTCTTTTGTATACTGTTCTTTGGGTGACTATTATAAATAATCATTTAAAGTATGTGTCCTGTATTATATTGTTCCCCTTGCAAAATAAACCCCAAACCAACACAGCCATGGAGACAGGAAGAAAAGAAAGCACGGCCAGCTTGTAAGGAGGTGCTCAGCCAGTGGTGAAACTTCCAGAGCCATCAGCCCTCTAACAGGATCAAATACTGAAAACCAAAGATTTAACCCCAAGTCACCCTCCCTGAAGGAATGATAGCTTGGAAGAGGAAGGCACTTGAGAAGCTCTATAGAGAGGCTTTCCCAGTCCTCGTTGCGGCCCAGGAAGTTTGTATTTGTAGTCCCATGAAAAGTTACTGGAATTCTAGTGAGTTAATTCTGATTTACCACTCCCAGTGCAACCCATGGCAAGAATGAAGACACTAAGGCATATTTATAGTTATGGGGAGCCAAGGGGTCCTAAGTCCAGCTACAATGATGGCCATCTAGAACAAAGGCCTATACCCAGGACTGAACCCAGATTTTATTCATTTGTGAAAAAGGGAGTGGCTTGAGGATGAGACTGTGAGAGTGGTAAGAAGTACATGAGTGCCAGGAGTTGGACTAGGTAGGAGGCCTGAAATCACCTCTGCCATATGCAGAGAGAAAGATATACAGAAAGAGTAATCTGCATAACACAATTGAGATTGTATCTAATGTTTTGAGATCAGTGCTTCAACTCTGATATGTAATCTTTCCAGTCCCCGGAAGTCATAGCCTTTATTTTGAGGCTTATCCCAGCTGACAGTGTAGAGCATTGGCTAACACATCCTGCCTCATCCTGGCCCATGGTGCTGGGGGAAACATGCCTGCCCTCTTCAAAGACTACCATCAGCACCTCGGCTAGACTGAT